AACCTTAGGGACACTCTCTGGGTTGAAGTCCTGGACCTCGCTGTGCCAGCAGTTTCTCTCTCCCGCGCGGTGCCCGGAAGCAGGCAGGTGTGCAGGCAGGTCTGCCTGGCAAAGGGCTAAGCTCTCACCGAGGACACATCAAAGGCAAATGCTCGTTTATGCAACACACTGATCTCTGGTTACAGAGGACAACATTTGACCCAGGCTTCTTGAATTAGACACTTCCCTGCCCAGCCTGAATAAAAAATCCCAACAGAAACCCAGCGGAAGGCTCAGCAGAAAACGAGTCCAGATTTCAACAGGCAGGAGGTGGGCAGTGGTGGCCATGTGCAGTTTTAGTTACCATCAGTCTTTTTCAGAGCTGCTTGAAGCACGCCTGGGGCAGCTGGGCCCCCGTGCATACTCAGGCTGTGCCCCTGAGCCGATCCTGCGATGTGCTCGGGGACCTTGTACCGAGAAAACACGCTGAGAGCCACAGCTCAGCATCAAAAGGGCTTTTTTTTTTGCGGGAGGGGCAGCTAAAGATGCACCCCCAAGCTAACCCGGTTTGTACCCCAGGTATCACGATCCTACCGGAAGAAAAATGACAAGCAAAATCAAAATAGCAACTGAGTCACCTATTAAAAGGCTGGTGGGGGATCTGGTTATGGTGCGGGTAGGGTTGACTCCTCACTAAACACTCCATGGTGTAAGAGCTGTATTTTTATCTTGGCTGTGAGCAATTCAAATTTTAGGTGATATTGGCTCTGCCTGCTGGCCCAAATGCCAGCCATGGGCCACAGCACACAGGACCACACCAGGCTGGCTGTGGTATGGACTATGCCAGCCTAAAAATGGACCACAGACCACAGCACACAGGTCGAGGCAAACCACACGGGTCCAGACAAGCCAGAGGGAGGAAGGCCACCATCATCTGACTTCACCAAGCCTTTGAACCTGGATGACTCCAGAGCTAATCAGCAACTGAACGGGACGCCCATTCCTCCCCAACAGCCCTGTTTCACAAGCAGCAGCAATTTGGGTGTGTTTATAGAAACTAATGAAGGGATGAGTTCAAAAAGGAGTGGCTTTAACAGAGCACCAAAATCAGTTCACATTGTCTTCCTCTCACAGGTATTGTGTTATGGTAAATGCAGGAGAGGAAGAAGCAGTTTTGCCTGTCAGAGAGAGTGGTGGGATCAGGCCTGTGCCCCCTGCCCTGGCATCACAGCTCCAGGAAGGCACCAGCCCAGGGAGCAGGTTGGGCTGGGTCACAAGGACCCTGTGGTCTGTGACTCAAGCCCTCCTGAACTCCATAAAAATGGAGTTTTAGACTGAAACTAGCACCAGCCAATTTAGCCAAGGTTTGAAACGAGGTCAGCCTGAAGTTGAGTGTAGATGAGGGTTAAGCACAAGCTGGATGTTCCCATGCCAAGGAGAAGGGTTACAGCTCTGTGCTGCAGTCACCAGCCTCTCTGAGCAGCCAAAACAGGATCTCCAGTGAATCAGCCCCGGCTGCCTTTATCATGACAGGCCCAGAACATCCTCTGCAGACCTGAACATTTCAGTCCCATGATCAATCACCCTTCCTCCTCTGCTGGCTCAGTCACCCTTGAAAGGACAGTGGGGGTAGGGAGGCTTAACCAGGAGCTGTACCTGTGCCTGGCTCAGATCATCACTTCTTTCCAAGACTTTGTTTATGCCGTTCCTAGTTTGGGTAAGACATCTGGCAGTTGACTACCTAACACCTTCACACCCTGGCAGGACACAGCATTTCTACAATCCTGCACTGGATAAATTCCCCTCTGCCTGAGCCAGAACTCAGTAGTCAGCATGGGGAAAGAGGACGTCCCACCCACAGCCCCACATTAGTCAGACCAATTCCCAGCCTTAATTCTTCTAGTTTAGAGGATCAGGTTTAGAGTCAGCATGTTGACTAAGCAGCTTTTTTCTAAACCTCCTCCTTGACACAGCTGGATATTAGCAGTGATCCACACTTTAACCAAACCCACAGCATTCAGTGGGGGATTTAGGCTGCAATCCCAACCCTCACCTTCTTTGCCAGCATGTAACAGTTCACATCAAGAAAAAAGGCTCATTTATACTGCTACATTTTTATTAAAGTAACAAAAGCATACATCTGTCAAAGGATCTGTACATTCTGTATATAAAAAACACTACTATACAATTAGTAACCATCCACTCCCTCCTCCAAGTGTAGCTTACAAACTTTCTACCATTTTCACCAAATACAAAAAGCAGGTCCCGTTCAACAGTCCAGCTTGTTAAAAAAAAAAAGACAAGAAACCCCTCAAATACACTGTCTTAAAATACACACCACTCAGCTCTGCAGTTGAGTATCAGGCTTGTAGGCAGAAGGCAACAGAGCACACCAATTCACAGCTTTTACATGTAACCAGCTACAAGAGAGAAATGGATTATACCCAAGTTTGGTTGGTTTCGAAGCTAAAAACAGACACCTTTAACATCAGACTCCTCCACACCAGGGACAAAAAGAATGAGACTTGGCTATTTTGGTTCTGGAAGTGGGGGCATGTTAAGAGCAGTTATAGTGTATTTTCCTTTGGTGTGGGCTGTTGTTCCTGAAAAACTTTTCTGGTAAGAGGGAGGGAACAGAGTAAAAGGGGAGGGGTGAATCATAAGACTGCTTTGATCCTGACAAATTACAACCCGAGGAAGTACCAGCCTTCAGGAAACTCCACATCCAGCCAAAGAGTCCAGCAAAGCAAACACTGCTCATCCTGGATGCAGTTCTCATCATGGGCTTTCCACGTAAGCAGGTTAAGTGAAGACTCCAAAAAGCACAGAGATACCTTTTCCTTGAAAAGGGAATTTGCTTTTTGGAAGTTCCCAAGTACTCCCCTCTTGGTGAGGTCACCTATTGCACAAGTTCACCAAGGGAAAAGCCCCAGTGCTTTATTTCAGCTTCTGCTTTGCTGACACAAGAAATTCAAGTGATGCAGAGGGAAGTGATGCAACTTCAGAGCCGCATGCTACTACTGTTCAAGGACAAATAATTCACCACTTGACATTTTAAAAGAATCTAAGTAGTGAGACTTGTTTTCCAGTTCTGGAATTCATGATTTGAAGCTTACAAAAATCTAAACTTTTCCACATTAGTAGTCAGAGTTGGGGAGCTGTGCTGATTTTTTTTTTAACATATTAAAAAAACAAGCTAAGAACTGTGGCAGTTGGGAGGCTTCCTTCCTCTCCCAGAGCACCCAAGATTTGGAAATATATTGCACAAATGTCAGAGAACTTGATTCATCAAAGGCTGGGCAAGAACTACTCTGCTTATGCCAGTCAGCTGCCAGGTCAGAAAAGAGGAAGGTAAAAAAAATCATGCTGAGAGTCAAATCTGGGAAAGTTTCATTACAAACAACCATGTCAATGCCCTGCTTTTTCTATCACTTCTCCCAGGATGACTGGAGGAGCATCAGCTGGTAGTGGAAAGGCAATGGAGATACAACATCCTGGTAAAGGCTCATTCCCAACAGGCAGGTAAAGTTCTTGGGCAGCGCTTTGAGCTGCCACCCTATCTGTAGTTAGTCAGAGCAGTTTAAGGGCCAAATCCTGATCACCACTCAGGCAAAGTCTCCCTGAATACAAGTACCACTGAGACTCCAAGAGGAGTTTTGCTTGACTAGACAGAGCACAGGACCAGGCATTAATTGTGCAAAACAGTTATGTACCAAGAGACCAGACCCAAACGATGCCCCTTACCAAGGTATCAGTGGAGACAGTTCCCAGGGACAGCCACATGCTGATCATCCAGAGGAGGAAGAGAGGGAAGAAGTGCTGTGACTTTCAAAGCAATGTTAGGACACCAAAGCATCTGAGCATCCCACACACAGAGGGAAGAGATCCCCAATACTTCTAATTTTAAGAGATAGGGCAAAGGGGGTTCTCACACACCAACCTCTACGGTACAAGGCGAGTTGCTTCTGCTCTTCTGGAGAAGTGACACGGCAAGTTGTCAGCATTGGATTAGGCAACTTTTGCAAGCAAGAGGCCAGACCCCACTCTTGGAGCACAGAGAGTGGCCACACAAGAGCAGCTCAGGGGCTGATGTCTAAGCCACACATAGCAGAAAGGCTTTGTAATTCACAGCTCTTCAGTGCTGGTTTCAGGGTCTGGAGTACCCTTCTCAGAGGGCAGCAAGCAGTGGGTGATAGCCAGGTACCAGGGAGCACCAGGAACTGTACTCCAGTGCCACCACAGTAGCTGCAATATTCATCTCAGGGATCTTCTCTGCACAGCCTGACTCCAAATGCAACTCTGCTTTGCTCCACTTCACAGGACACCCATACTCATGTGGCCCCTCTCAGTCCAGCAGCAGACAGGAGAGATGGAGGGACTGGAGACAGGCCATGCTCCCCCTCGTTTTGTGCTGGGAGTGGGGCAGAGCAGAGCAGCAACCCTCATGGAGTAAGCAGGTCCAGAGGAGATGCATGAGAGCAAGAGAGGGATCGCAGGGTCCCCAGCATCACCCAGCCCTGAGGTAAGGTTCTCCCAAGCACTCTATCCAGGCCCTGAGAGATCGGACCAGCTGGGGAGCAAAGAAGTTAGTGGAGGAGAGACAGCAACTCCTTCATCCCTTCTCCAACAGCATTGCAATATGTGGTGATACAGCAATACTGTTGGGTACCAGGATGGTGTGAAGGTGACACAGACATCTCCCACCACCAAGCCACACTTCCCAGCCTGGATCTTCCCCCTCATCCTCCATTCAAGCTGCCTAAGTGAGCATGTCAGCTCAAAATTGCCATCCAATGCTAATTAGGTAGATATCGGCTTCATCATAAAAACTCATAAGCTTGCAACAGCTTTAAAAAAGGCACCTAGAACACCGCTTCTGTTCAAAGCGGTGCCCAATGTTTTAATTTTGGATTTTCTTGGATTTTTTTAAAAAATATAAATAGCTCTTCATCTTAAAAATAGATCCTCAGGTGAGGTATACAGTAGCCTGTGTCTTGGCAGTGTAAGGACAAGAGGAGTATTTAGCTGGAGACAGTCATGATGTAGTTTTTGGAAGGACTGGTGCGACCTAACATCATCTGGTTCTTACAGGTAAGCATCCCATAGGAGCTTACAGGTTTCGTTGCTGTTGCTTCATATAAGACACAGATGGAGCCATCCTCACCGATGCGGTACGAGACCTCGTAGGGGTCCACCCAGAGCGTGAGCTCACTGGGCAGGAGCTGGTAGAGCTGCGGTAGGCTGAGTCCGATCTGGCTAGCTGCTTTGCTGATAATGGGGTCCATTTTGTGGTTGATCCGGATGCAGCGATACCCCGAGCCTTTGAAGGGTTTCTCAGGAAACCAGTGATGTTTGTAGTGCTCTGCAAGGGAAGCGAGAAGGG